CAAAAATATCATGATTTGTAAAACTGCTCATATTTTGATGGGTGTATAACACATAGGACCTGTTTGGCAGAATGCTAAACCATGGATGGGCAGGATGGTATGCATGAATCACTGGGAACTATGGACTTGCAAACAATCTCTGGGTGGTCCTAAAAGGATGTGGGAAAATTATTTCAAAAATTTAAATAATCTATTACAGTTTTTGTTAACCATTTTTATTATAACTTGGTTATTTGAAGCAATTAGTTACTGATATAGGTTATAATAAAAACAGGTAATGTTTGTTAATTAAAGCTCAGAGCAATAGTTTTTGATCACTTCTTTTAGTGTCTCATGAGGAACAAAAGAAAATGAGCCACAGACTAAGCACAGCTTATGTTTATAATATTTGTTCTGTTTGTTTAAAAGAGAACATTGTCCTCCCAAATACTTTTAAGTAGTTTGCTATTAATTTCTGATTATCACATATAATTTTAAATTATGTGCTATATGATGATTGTAACTGAATGGTGGATTTTTTTCACTATAAAAATCCTATAGCATTGAGGAGATATCTGGGGAACCACCAGCAGAAGCTGTTTATGGGATGCTATTTGTCGGACTTTTTTTGCGCTCCTACATCTCATATGGAACAAATTAGCAGCACAATAATTAACTATGCTTTGTGGATACCATCTTTGTTTTAGATATTGCTTCATTGGCCTTTTTTTTTGTTATCATACTATATTTCAGTGATTTTAATATAGTTTGGGATAATATTTGGAAATTATAGTCAGGAATTATCCATGTCAGATAATTCAAAGCATGTTTTGAATTCAGCTGATTAACAAGTAACATCTACCCAATATCTTTTTCACCCATGTGACAGACATGGAGTTATTCATGTTTTATCAATTTGCATATTTAATCTAAGGATTTAAGTTTTCACTTAAGAATGAAATTCTTATTTTGATTTCTCATATATACTTAAATCATCTTAGCTTCAACTCTGAAAATTAATATTTCCCCCTAAGCATTTTGGAGAAATATAACAATTACAAAATATAATCAGATACTTCTATAGCCATGGCTATATAACATCTCTATTAATTATTTAACTGATATCTAACCAATTAGAGCCATCTCCAAAAATTGCAAACCAATATATGGTTAGGCTGGACTGGCAAGTATTAAAATGACTTCCAGATGATTTCTGCAAAAAATTAAGCAGAATGTTAGCTATTAAATATGTAGGAGCTGAAAGCAATGGCCTCAGGTAAGAATTAAACAGATAAATGGGAAATTGTGGTCCACATCCCATGATTGTGAGATGTCATGGAATACAGAATTTCATTATTGACATTAGTAACAAGCTTATAAGGTACAATGGCAGAGAAGCACACTTGGTAACAGTTGCATATTCATTATAATTTCCAACCGTTCTTAATTTATGAATGGCTAGGAGCACTACATGAAGTGGCAAAACATATTGTTTTTATTTTGCTGTTATCTCAAAGATCATTTATTAATGAATTCATAAAGTACAAATTAGAAAAAGAAAAACATAAATAGCTATTTCCTGTGAAGTGGATGCATTGTTAAGTTAGCAGCATTATCTTTTGATTCAACCTGTGTGCTTAAGATAATGATCTAAACAGCTAGTAATTTGTTGGTATAATGAAAGGAGGTTGTTGTTCCTTATTAATTGTTGCTTCTATTGATGGCACATTTTATTTTGATTCCCAACTCACAGTTGAACCTTTAACAATCCATTTAAGTGTCAGTGCTTCAATCAAAGAGCTAGTAATATACGAGGAGGGGTGTATGAACCTGTACTTCTACATCATATATATACATCACTGATAAATATATCAAAGTGAACAATACATTTTTCTTCGAATACATTTCAGCTGTGATCCACCTCACCTGCTATGATAAACAATTGTAAACACACAACTGCCTTTGGAGGGAAGACTAAAACCATATCTATGAGAAGAAGAAACACAGCAAAAAGTATAAACAGAAAGAATACAAAGATTCTTCTCTATATTATTCAATGTCTTCTAGGCTGATGAAGTTCTGTATTTTTGTATATAAGCTCATTAAGTTTTCTGTAAGGTTAGACTTCAAGCATGCACTAATCTTTTGTTAAAGAAAATCATATGAAACAGGAGAAATATACAATCTTGATTAAAAGCATCCTTTTTCATAATTAATCTATCACTATTTGTTTATTCCTTGTGCATCACCTAATCATTTATTTCCAGTATATGTGCCAAATAGATATAAACAACTCACCATTGAACAGGCTTAGTCCATAAATACACTTCATTTTTATTGGTATCACTACTTCAACAAAGAACCATTTAATCAAGATAATTGCCTTAAAGATTCTGTTTTCACCCATCTGCCTTTGTAACAGGCTATCTACTTCTAATGTTTATTTTCCTACAAAAAAAGGAAAACAAAAAGACTGCTTCCTATGACATTACTGCAACACTATATTGACATTAGCAGCTATTGCTCAGTGCTTAATAAAATAAAACTATTTTAAGACATATGATCTGATGGGCCTAGTATGTTATAAAATATGAAACAGAAAATACATGACAAATACTACATCATAGCAAACCAACTGGTTAATGTTAGAGTCACACCAAAAGTCTATCCAATTTGGCACTTCATTTACATGAGCTAGCCAGATGCTAATGGAACATACAGACAGGATAAAAGCACAGCATCACTGTTCTTGGGTTCCTCTGCAACTGGAATTCAAAGGAGCACTGTGTCTGATAAAAAAAGGCAATCTCTTCTCCTTAAGAAGGGATCCAAAGTAACTTCCATAAATGGCAATTTGATCCCAATGGTTTCAGACTATAAATATACACTCACCCACCATCATTCTAAGATTACTTTTATAGTAATAGAGATAAAAATGTAGATAATTTTTTTTAAAAAAATCCTATTTACCAACTAAATTGTCTTGCATGAGACAAGAGATATCAAAAAACAACAATGACCAAACAAATGCCATGAAAATTCATAAATTACAACCCAGAATTTAAGGAAAACATGTCCTTTATTAATATTTTACTCCCATTAAGTGTATAACACAGCTACCAAGGGACAACCTGTTGCACATTCTATATTACCAACTGTAATGTAACACCTCAGCAATGTAATATATACATGCTGAAACTTAGCTACTTGTATCAAGTACTCACATCTTTGCACATTCTGGACTATAATGAATATATTCACTTAATAACCACCCACAGATCTATGTTACAAAAATCATGTTTCCTCAGGCTGGCCAGAAAGTTATTCAGTTTGAGGAATTGAGGCAGATCATCACAAATCATTATACCAATAACAGCATGGATGCAGGATTTTAAGACTTAACTCCTATTCATATTAAGACGTCTCACTGATTTTTAAACAGACTTACATCTGAATAGCTACACCAAAGATTGGATTGCACTAGAAAACTATAGTATTAGCAATAACTTCTTACTATGAATGTTAATTATATGACATTTACAATGCAAAAAGAAACATTTATCCAAACTTCTTATATCTCTTGGTGAGAATTATATCTGCACCAGAAACAACTTTCTAACACATATCAGAGGAAAAATAATTAAACCAAACCTAAAAAAGAGATTGCATGGTCGGGTATTTCTTTTTCATATTGAAACCAAATATGTATCATGGGAAAAATAGTATCAATAGAGGTTTGGGCAAAAGTCAAAACATAAAGCAATATTATTAGCAATATTTAATAGTACATATGATAATTCAGTAAAATCATTCAAAAATTCAAATAATAATAATAATAATAATAAATCAAACAAGGGGGAGGAAAACAATATATAATGGAAACTAAGATGCTACAATACTTCAAATAATCAATTTGAAAAGATGAAAAAGCTCACAGAACCTGCCCATTTCTTTCCACCCTTTCCCTTCACAGATTCACAGTTCTGTATTTTCAATAATTCTCAAAGCCTCTAAGCAAAATGGATTTATTAGGATGCTATTTTAAAAGACCACAGGAGTTCTATATGCCAATAAAGATTAGACAAATATAACTGCTAACCATTGTGCATACTCAGATAAACAAACCTGATCACAAACAAAGCACCTTATTGTATTCCTACTGTTACCTCCACTAATCCTACTAAAACAGCCAAGACAACAGCTTGGAAGTCATGAAATGAAAATTGAAAACAAAGGCTTCCTAAACCTCTTGAAATCAAAGGAAAAATCACTCTCATCCTTCTGTGTTTTGGAGGCACTTAAGTGCTTGCACTTTTTTTGTTGTATGTTGACTTCTTTTAACTGCATGCTAAATCAATACAAACTGGAGATAATATCCAAACAGTGAAAGCACAAAGAATAAACATTTATTCACCCTCAAACTTGCATAACTCAATACTTTAGATAACACTTTGCCAATACAAGGTCACATACAATCCAAGAACAATCCAAGAGAAAATGTAAAAAGGGCACCAAATAAACAATATTACTCAGAATTATTCTACTTATTTCTAGTGAAAGGTAGGACCATAAACCCTGCAAATGAAGACAATAAGTGGCAACACTACATGTATCCCTAATGAATGAAATGTTTTCCTCCATGGCTGGGAGTAAAGGTCAAAAACTATAGCAAAAACTGAACCAGACAAATTACACAAATAAATAGTGTAATTGGTCATTATTAGTTGCTTCATTGTAAAAGGAAGCTCATGCCCGTCTGACATTTCTCAGAAGCTGCAGCAAATCATCATCAACCTCCAAAGGTGGTAAAAAGTACCACCCTGATTTTCCAGTAGGCAACTGTTTCCTAGAAAAAACTTCACCTCTACCCCACTCAATCCTTGGCAGAGAATAACCAGGGTTTCAGATCACAAAAGCAGAGTGTGGAGTTTGAAAGTCAAAAGCAACCAACTGTTTTCTTTTACTCCCTTACGCAAACATATTAAAAGAGAAACCAAGACACCTTTGTCCTGGAGCCTTACCTCTTTTTGGCCTAGGGAAGCTGTCATGCAAGTGAAAAACGACTTTCTCCACAAAGTGCTGAATGTTACTATGCTCGGGTCCTCTAACAAATACCATCCAGTCGTGAGTAAAACCTTCCACGGTGGGTTTCTTCCTCACCTGGGCTCGATGGCCAAGCTCCAGTTTCACCTGAACAGCGCACTAGAGAGAGAGAGAGGGAAAGAGGGAGAGAGGGAAAGAGAGAGAAGGATAACAATGAGTACCAGAGAAAAAGCGAAGATACCTCCCCCTGTCCCTCAATTCCATTCCTGTAGATTTAAAGGTTCCCTGAAAAGGACAAAAAGAAAACACACACAAAGAAAATAGCTGCCTGCTTATGGAGGGTAAGACCACCATTCTCTTACTTTTAAAGAGACCTTTGCCAGGAGGAGAGCAGCTGATATTGTAACGGAATGCAGGCTGGAAAAATTTGCAATCTCGAGACCGGGGTTGGGTGCAGAATTTGGGGTTGGGGAACACGGGAAAGCGGGAAGGAAATAAGGGGGAAAGAACGAATCTCCGAGGAGTTCATTCCATGCCTCCCCCACCCACCCCCAAAAAAGGGAGAAAGGGAGAAAGAGTAGCGGACTAAATAATATTAGCCTTGCATATTGGAGCCTTATCGGATTTTCAATGGGGCTGGCATTTCAAGTTGCATTTGAAACGCGCTCCAGCGAAGCAGAGAGATCGCCTCAGAGTCAATGGAAGGGGATGAGGAAGAAACCGAACAAGGAAAGGAGGTGCAGCGATGGAAGTAGTTTCAAAACCCATTTTGGGGTTTTTGTTTTTTCAGGGAGCTTCTCGCCTCCGCCTCACCGTCACGCGTGTACATACATACATACATATATACACACACGCACATATACACCTAGCCACGCGCATAAAGAGGAAGACTATCGGGGCAAGGGTGGGAAAAGGGGGTGCCCGCCAGCTGTCAGAAAAGCCACGCTGGGGGAAGAGAAAACGCACCATCCTGAGAGGCGCCTTCCTGAGCGGCGAGAGCCAGTTTTTCACCCACCCACCCCCTTTGCACACTTGTACTCCACGGCCCCCCCCCCCCCCCCCCGCCCCCCCCCGGCCCGGGCGCGCGGCGGAGGCGGGTTGCTGCCGCCGCCGCCGCCGCTGCAGAAATATGGCTGGATTATTATCCGCCTCCAGTGTGCGCGCGCGCTGCATGCAACTGCACGGAGAGGAGGGGAGAGGGGAGCGCGGGGGGGGGAGAGGGAAAGAGAGAGAGAGAGAGAGAGAGACGAAGAGGAAGCCGCGCGCGAGAGAAGGGTTGGCGGAATCGGGGGGGGGGGGGGCCCCCCCGCTATATATTGGGCGGCGCGGGGGGGAGAAGGCGGGGGGGGGGCGGTTTGCTCTTCGCATGTACTCACCGAATTGGCCATGCCTGGGGGCCTTGGGGTGTCTTCAGCTCTCCCCGCCCCCACCCTTTCAGCTCTAATTCATGAAGAAACGGAGAAGGCGCGCAAGAAAGGAAAGCCCATGGCGGACGCTTTCGCCCTGTGGGCTCGTTATTATTATTATTATTTTTTTCCGCCTGCTGATAGTAGTTCTGCTGCTGCTGCTGCCGCCGCCGCCGCCGCCTTCTTCCTTGTCTGTCGCTCGGCTCGCTCCTTATTAAACTAAGCCCCCGGCTCTGGGCTGCTGTGAGCTACCGAGAGCATGCGCCCTGGTGCACTCCTGTGCCAATTCCTGACACTCTCATGGATGCAACACCGGGCCGAAAGAGGAAAGAAGAAGAGGTGGGGAGAGAGAAGAAGGAGTGGGAGGGGGGTTGGTAAAAGAGAAAAGAGGCAGGGCCAATCAAAAGCAACCGGGAGCCCGGAATAATAGTAATAGTAATAAGAATAAGAATAAATCCTCGGAAGAAAAGGTTGAAGGAAACCCGCGTGCAAGTCGGGGCCGTGCGAGGCACGCCGCCTGCGAGCCTCCCCGCCCCGCCGTGCACATACACTTTCCGCGCAGCGCCTTAAAGTAACAGGTTTATTGAACGGAGGGGGGAGGAGGAAGGGGGAGAGCCGAAAACTGCCCAACTACAAAAAAAGTAAAAGTCCCGGGATCTGACCAATAATAGTAACAACAACAATAATAATAATAAAGGGAGGTGTTCGACGTGATTTGTGATACGAAACCCAGCATAGTTATCTCGTTTGTGCGTACACTGTTGTTTTTTGTGAATAATAATAATAATAATAATAATAATAATAATAATAATAATAATAATAATAATAATAATAATAATAATAATAATAATAATACCCGGATTAAAACTGCTTGAATGTAACCGTGTGTCTAGAACCCTTTTTAGCCTGTAGCCAAAAGGAGGGGAAAGGAGGGGGGCATCATCTGTGTGGTGAGGTAAAACGGCTGGAGTTACACCCCCCTTTTTTTCTTTTCTTTTTTTAATGGAGACAAAGATCTTTTTAATAAGAACTTGGAGAAGGAAGGAACTTGGAGAAGGGGTGTGTGTGTGTGTGTGTGTTTCAAAACATCTTGGAATTCCTGCATTACCTCAGCGGTTGCCAATTAACATTTTAAGTGATAACTGGAATTGGAGTTGGTATGCATTATTGTACAAAAATGAATGTAAAAGAGCTCGTGGAAAAAAACCAAATGCCTTCAATCAAATAAGGTGTGCGACTGGGAAGTTGAAGCACCTGGTAACCGCATTTCCTTTTAATGATAAATGTATATCACTGAAGCCAAACAAACCTTCTTTTCGTTGGATCGCAATCAAGTGTTCTTCTTGTCAATAAATAGGCATTGATTGATTGATCCCAGTGTAAAATTATCTGTGGGATTACTGATGAGATGAATGGGTCAAGGAAAGGACAGATGTCCCGCTCAAAGGCCCACTGGCAGACCTTGATAGTTGTCTCTAAAGCCACCTTACAAGATTTTGTTTTACCACAAAAAGTAGAAACAAGATTCATATGATACCAGAAATCTCAGAAGGATGCACATAGAACATGTAATAGAAAAAGACAACACCTAAAATGAAAGTTTACATCTGAATATATTCTGACCTGAAGTAACACTCCCAAAATAGCAACTGCAATAAATTATTGACTGCAGTGGTTATTAATTGTACTTGAAACAGGATGCACTTTAGTAATCAGCAAAAAAGAGCAATAATCTGGCTCAATTTTTGAGGGATAGGGCAATAGTTTCTTTTCCTAAAGTTATTGCTACATCTTCAAGATAGATTAGTATGTAATATGTGCACATGTAGGTGGAATGAGATGAAAATAGGGCAATAGCAATCTTTTAAATTCAATACTTTCTGATTCAGGTAAAATACCAAAATGCCCTTTAAACTCAAACTACCTATAGATTTAACTGTAATGTACAACCCTAAATTAATTCAAGCTTGGTTAACATAAAAACTGCCACATCTTTTTTTTTAACTTCTCATGTGGCTTTATACCAAGAAACCTGTGTGTTCCAGTCACTGATAAAGTCCATACAGAATGCTTTTGGTTTTTATATTTTTAACAAGAGAACAATCATAAACCTCTTATTCTGTGCCTGGGTGCAATTTTAAATATGCCATATCCTTTATTTAATTGGAAACTTGAATAATATCACTCCTCATTCCATTTTAGGATAAATATAGATTAAGATTATCTAGACTGCTATGTAACAACCTCTTTTGCCCATCTTCTGTGAATCTATTTGTGTGTGTGTGTGTGTGTGTGTGTGCGTGTGTGTTTTATGTGTAGCATCCAGCCATATAATAAATTCAAAACATTTATGTAAGTTTAATAAACAATAACAGTTTTCTTACTTTGTGAACTTTTCAATGGTCTTAATAAAGATGATTTGATTTTTAAAATGTTTTGGACTTTAAATATTTATTATTTATTATCTCCTTGCTGATTCCAAACACAAGTTTTTCTGAGAAAGAGCAAGTAGGGAGAGAATTCTAACACTTTTTTTTTTTCCAGTGCCATCCCTGTCCCCAACAATGCAATGCTATATATGTACATGTGGAAGTCCCACAGTGTTCAGAAGGGAGGGTCTTCTAGATTGTCCCCTTGAGAGTTGGAACAGATTTTCTGATCTATTAAGACAATGGATATTAGAGACAAATAAATCAATGAAAATTATCTTATACTTTCTGAATTTTTCTTTTGGGACCTTCTTAATCTCACTGAGTTTGCACACTTTTATTAGGAATGATGGAATAAGTGTAAACAAAGTTACTCCAGGATATTCAGTATTAGTAGAACTAGAATATTGAGTGGACATGCTTACATTGTAACGAAGAAGTTTTGTTCATAGTACTGTAAACAATTTAATTGATAACAAAATACAGGTTTCCTAAACACTGTAATGGAAGAATGGCTAGATGTAAACATGTGAAATAAACGGCAGCTTTTTGGCCCAAGTAGGTATAAATTGATTATATTATTTTGGTAATGTTAAAGATTCTTATTTAAAGACTCTTGGGTCTACCATTTAACAGTTTTAATTGCAGCTTAGGTTAAAATATTGTTTAGGTATTTATTTTTTCATTGCAATAATAGTCAAACTGTGTTCCAAAGTTTTCCATCTTTTCTTTAAAAATTAGCAGGGTGTCTTTTTTGAGAAAGAAAGTTAGTAGCTGGCTTGCTGGCACCAAATACTTTGGTCATTTTTCTCTGTTTGAGGATGGGAAGTTTTCTGAAGTAAGATGGATGTCAAACCTTGCAGATACTTAAGGTAACCATTTTGCCTTTTAAAATTTCCAAAACCTGCCCTCTCTACTTTTTTAAATTGTATCTCAAGAAACCACACAAACTCTACTGAAGCCTTCAAGACCATTGAAGGTGTGCATCTCTGACTTAGCTGATGTGCTCATTCAATCAGACAGTATATTGAAGCTTTTCTGAGAAAGAAATGATCCACTTTTCTTGGATTTCCTCAGCAATACAGAATTAAAAGAGAGAATGGGGGCAGGCAAGGAAGAAGCAGTTGTGGGGTTCAACATCCAAAACTGAATTCAGCAGACAGTCATATGTGATATCTCAGTGGCACTATTGCTGAAGCTACACAGTTGTGCTCTTACCAAGTTATTTGTTGGAAGCAAGGCCAGTCCTACCTTTAATAAAGATAAGCTGTTTCAGTCAACTGTCAGATTTGGAATAATATTTCATTATAGTTTAAACAATTATTATATCTTTATTGTCCAATATGAGGAAAGCAGACAAAGATTTCCTGTCTTTTTATCAACATAACTGATTGTTTTAGTTATTAGAAATCTTAGTTTGATTGGTAATCATGTTTTTCTTTTTTTCCCCCTCTCTCTTCAAAATGAGATGAATCTTTATGTATAATTGAGATAGTGTAAGGAAACATGAAAAAGGCAACAAAATTGAAGCACAGTAAAGAAAAGGAGGCAACACTACAGAATATCTGCAACCTTCTGGCTCCATTTTTTTTCAGCGCCGATATTGTGTTAGCAAAATACAGAAACAAATTTCCAATTGTCAGCACTTTTTTCCAGCTAAAATAAATGTTATATCACTAGTAGAATACCAAAATTATTTTGCTTAAGTCCTTCCTCAAATAAACAAGGTTCAGCCTAATATCCTCCATCAACAATTGATCAGTAAAGGATCTTTCCATCCCTTGTTCCAAAAAGAATACCCATCCTTTTAAGTGTACAAAGAGTGGTGTCCAATTCTTACATTATCACCCAAAGAAAAGGGAGAAGGAAATCTCTCTCTTCATGCCACAGCACCTATGCTGAGAGGTTATAGAGGTGGCCAAAGAAAGAGAAACATTTGATGTATGTAAGCCTATTTACACTGTTCACACACAATATTGAACTTTGCTTGTGGAAGTGAGTGCACAAATAAGTTTTAACACCAATACCTGAAATTAAGAGGGTTCAGTTTCCATTTGGTGGATCAGCCATGGTGGTAGCTGTAGGGAAGGCATTTTTAATGGAAACCTTTTAGATGTCTTCACTTGAAATATTACTATACAGTGATTCCAGAAGTCTTCCCATTCACATTGACAGTTAATCATTGCAGCATAAATTATAATCCCTGACATTTGTGTTGAGTAAAATGACATAGGTTGCTGAAATATATTAATCAGTAAGCCAACCTTACATTATTCAATTGAAGATTCGCACTTGGAAAGAATAATAAAAGTAGTTCTTGCTCTGAATATACAATAGAGGATATTTTAAAAATAAAATTGCTTCCTACAAGCTTGTGAAATGGATTCTTTGTGTTCTTCTTTGATGGACTCTGTTAACCTCACCCTGAAAGAGATCTACAATGAAAAACAAACAATGTGCAAGGGTTTGGAAGGGAAAGGTTGGAAAGATTCTAAATACACAGGCAAAGTTAGACACTCATTGTGAACCTGGCAAACTTACCTTAAGAAACAAAGGGAAAGAAAAATTCAAAGAATGTACTAATTGAATAAATGCAACTGGTGATGATGGATTAGAGGAGGAAAAGGGCACATCTAATAAAAATTTAAGAACTTCTTTTATCATCATTCATTGCATTGTGGCATCCTTTGGAAGATTCTGAAAAGATTTTTTTTAAATTGCTGTTGGTTTGAATTGTTTAGCACAATTTTCTGGGCTGGGAAGAGAAATGTATTTATATTATTTACAAAAGTTCATTCATTCATGGGCACACATACACATGTATATACATACATGTTTGTAGTATTGCAATAAGTAATATTTTCCCCACGCTTTGGGTGAGCACTTTCCCATCTGACTTTTACA